TGGTTGCCTCATCGTCTCGCCATGGAAAATGTATTTGTATTAATAATGTATGTGAATGCGTCATAATGTAATTTCGAAAGAGAAAACCTAACAATCAATTGATATTCACAAGATACGTACCTTGACATATCCTTAAATTCGTCGCATTGTCCGTGGGATTGTTTTCACTCATTTTTTACAATTGTTATCCACTAAATTTGAAAATAAAAAATACTATCCTATTAAATGTGTATCAAATCAAACTAAAATTTTTTTTTATAGAAAAACAATACTTTTATGACTTTTATTATTTTTATGCTAGTGATAACCAAAACAATATGGAAATGAATGAGGGAAAACTGGATCCTACCACGTGATTTCCCGGCCAATAAAAATGTAGCGTTAAACGTTTAACGCAACCTTGTTGGAAGTCGCATAAGAAGTATAACTTCAAAAAAAGTGGTACCACATGTTTTATTTTTTTTCTTCCTATATTGGATATATCTTTTTGCTAATTACTACTTTACCATAAAACTTCGCAATGTTTTGATTTTAAATGCAAAAACAAATATTATCATATATAATATGTTATTTTCGATAGAAATTCTTAATGTGTTATTTTCGATGGAACTATCTAGTTTCATGGAAATAAATCATAGTATTAAAACACTTCAATTACCACTTCTTTCGTTTTTGAAAAAAGAACTGCCCTCATAAAAAGACGCTAGGGTTAAGGCAGAAAATAATGTAAGGGGTGTAAAAATAAGTATCAATGGGTCTGCATGGTAAATAAATAAATAAAATATTACGCGCAACTTATATCGAGTTTATATAGTTTCGGCTAATTTTCAGGCTATTATGTTCATTACCCCTCTCGCGCCGACTGTCACAAATACGTGCCAGCATAAAATCGTATCAATCAGGGTAAAAAGATAAAACTGGTACTCAAAGTATTTCTTTAGCAGTTTATTTGTGGGTGGAGTTATAATTGTTTGATTAATTTAATTCACCATTACTTTGCTTAAAATAAAACTAATTAGCTACACTTTGAATTAACATTCATTATATATATGATTAAACTAACAATAATTAAAGTAAAAGCAAAGTAAGTCTGTCAAATTAGCAACGACTACATTTAAGTTACAGTTTTTTATTTAATTACAACTTGATTCTAATTTTGTACGAAAGCTTTTCTGAATCACCCGTCCCCCAAGGGGTTAAGGGCCCCCAACAACCCACTATTGTTTTGGGTGTTTGGGCGTCGTTTTGGGCGTCGTTCTCCAAGGAAAATAAAAGAGTCACTGTTCAATTGCCTTACACTTGAAACAATGGGATGATTTTAAACTATATCTAACATCTCAAAATAAAGAATTTATCTGAGCTTTAGAACGGTCAAATAACTTAAATATTTCAAAAGTTATTAAACAATTAAAGAATCGCCAATTTGGCGACATTTTTTCCACCTAGATGAAAATTGTCAATGTCACTGCCTTACATGGGTGAAAGCGAGACGGAAAAGGGGAAAAGCTAGTAGTAAGTCTATTTCAGTTTTTACATGTTTTCGAAAGGAGTTAAACTATTCTCTGTTTTATTTAATCAGTCATATCTACTTTTCTATAAAGAAAGAAGCCGTTTTATATATATACTGAAATTGTAAAAAAAATTCGGTAGTTACAGAAATTTAATGTTTCTCGAAAAAAATGCTAGAATGAAATGCCTTTCGAACCAGTTTTTGCTCTTTTCCGTCTTGCTATATATAGGCTTTCAGCCCTGCTGCCTTATTCTCAGTTTTTGTAAATTTTTATAAGCCCAAGAAATGATAAAAAATTGGACCACAAACGCTGAGGTAAAACATTTTGAATTTAGCAACATTGGGGGAGCTATACAAAAAAGGTTTGAACACTTTGCTTGTTAAATTAAAATTTGAAGGTTGAAATTGTGATAACAATAAGAATATTTTAAATCTATTAATCAATCTATTGAAATTTTTTTTATGCAGTTTATAAAATAAATATTAAAAGTTTTTTAGAGTTCAGAGTATATAAGTTTGTTGACGTTTCCATCTTGCTCTAAACTATGTTTGACTGTTGGTTTTCATAATCATCACTGATCGAGGATTTTCTGAGCTTATGAACTGGATGCTAATGATGGTACTTCGAAAAAGTGATGGGTGACATCAGGCAGAGTGTACTTTTCCTAGGGTAGAAGAGGTTCCATATATATATTGTACTTGTTAAAAAATGTTGGTAGTCATGGATATTTAATTCTACCTGAAAACAAGGTAAAAAAGGAAGTTTCATTGCTACCAGTTTTTACTCTTTTTCACTTTGAATGAAATTTCTGCCTTGTCCTTATTTCAGAGATGCCAACTTGCTGTGCACAGCAAATAAATAATCTCAAGTGGTAGTTTATCAATTGCGATTCTTGGTTTAATGAATTTAATCTAGTAGACTTTTATCCACCACTATTTCTAAACAATTCGTAGGCTTATATAATTCACCCCTTTTTTTATATATATCATGCTAAACCCTTTAAGAAACTTGCAAAATTTTTCTAATATTTGCAAATTTAGTTTGTAGTTATTTACCATTTGATCAGACGGGCAAGCCATGTAAAATTAGCGTGACATTCAACGTGTTAAAGATAAAGTTTATATAAAATGGAAATAATAACTGGAAAATCAACTAAGACTATATCAACTAGATTCTTATAAAGTTACACTCGATTTTATTTCATACTTTATTACGCAAAACCAAAGAAAATTTGTATTTTTTTAGAAATATTTTAAAATTATTTTATTCAAGAGTGATCAGAGCATATCAAGTTAAGTCCGTTTTTTTAAACGCTCAATAAGAGCTGCGTCAATTTTTTTTTTACAACACGCATTTCAATCTATGTCTATATTTTAAAGCTCAAATTAATCTATGTCCATTTTCGTAAGCGTGCATTTTGAGCTGCTTCTGAATAAAGTATTCATTGTAGTTGCGCTGCTTTTAATGTCGTGCTCAGAGTCTTAAATGTCATGTGCGAAAAATCATGAGTGTGTAGGGATTACTGATTTTAGAATAAGTAGTTATCTACTTCCTATGATGTACGAAATATGCGACGCAGCTTTATAATCATTTGCAGAGCGTGATTGCGATGATCTCGTAGATATTCTAAAAATATGAAATTATTCTTTTGAACAAAAGAAAAATATTTTAAACAGTATCAATACCAGAATAATTTGGATTTGACCAACGTCTTTTTTTAATTTAATAGCCTAATACTTAAGTGTAAAAGTAAAATTCACCCTATTTTACGAAAAAAACTATTACATTTTTAATTTCCGAGTTAAGTGGTGTGCCTGGATACTTCGATGGCAGAAAAATCTCTATTACCTTACCACGTAGATTATCTTCCAGATTGGATAGTGGAAAAAGCAAAGGATGAACTTAATGAGACAGATGAAACTCGGGATGCCATCTTCAAGGAATTAAAACAATTAGTAGAAAGTAAGTTCAGTGAAACTTTGGTTACCTGATGCTCTTTCATTCGAATGCTACAGAGATGCTAACTAAAAAAAAATTAAAACCGAATTTGAAGTTTTTTCCTTCAAAAACGTGGATTTTTTTCTTTATTTAATTTTAAGAATATTTTAAGAATCTCGTCCCCTGCTCGCTTCAGTCGTCTATTCTCGGAACAGTTTTCGTAGTGCGTTAGCTAGCTTTAAAACACAAGTAGTCCAAAGTATAATAGTCCAGCTTGTATTGTAGTAAGTATACTAATATAAGTTTTATGTTATTGTAGTAGTTATAATATGTATGTATTGTACTAGACCAGTATTTATAACCTTATAGTTCTGAGTTTAGTTAAACCATATACGGTACTGTCTGACATCATTTCGATAGTCCTCGGAGTGCAAACTTTTTCATCTTTTGAAACTTTTTCTTTATATATATATATATATGCAGTTTATAAAATAAATATTAAAAGTTTTTTAGAGTTCAGAGTATATAAGTTTGTTGACGTTTCCATCTTGCTCTAAACTATGTTTGACTGTTGGTTTTCATAATCATCACTGATCGAGGATTTTCTGAGCTTATGAACTGGATGCTAATGATGGTACTTCGAAAAAGTGATGGGTGACATCAGGCAGAGTGTACTTTTCCTAGGGTAGAAGAGGTTCCATATATATATTGTACTTGTTAAAAAATGTTGGTAGTCATGGATATTTAATTCTACCTGAAAACAAGGTAAAAAAGGAAGTTTCATTGCTACCAGTTTTTACTCTTTTTCACTTTGAATGAAATTTCTGCCTTGTCCTTATTTCAGAGATGCCAACTTGCTGTGCACAGCAAATAAATAATCTCAAGTGGTAGTTTATCAATTGCGATTCTTGGTTTAATGAATTTAATCTAGTAGACTTTTATCCACCACTATTTCTAAACAATTCGTAGGCTTATATAATTCACCACTTTTTTTATATATATCATGCTAAACCCTTTAAGAAACTTGCAAAATTTTTCTAATATTTGCAAATTTAGTTTGTAGTTATTTACCATTTGATCAGACGGGGAAGCCATGTAAAATTAGCGTGACATTCAACGTGTTAAAGATAAAGTTTATATAAAATGGAAATAATAACTGGAAAATCAACTAAGACTATATCAACTAGATTCTTATAAAGTTACACTCGATTTTATTTCATACTTTATTA